CAGGAAGAAGTAGTCTGGGTACTTGGGATCTCTATTGAAAGATGGGAGCAAAAGATCTCAGCATCTCCTTGTGCAGTTCTTTTCTCTGCAGTGAAGGTGTAGCAATGCCACTTGTTACTGTGCTGTGTGCCCTGGAAGGAAAACATCTTCGCTTCTTATGGCTGGGGGCCAGTGCAGTGCTGGGACATTTGGTGACATAAATTCACAGCTCAGCTGCAGGTGCTGTTTGTTAAGGCTGTTCATCCCCTTGTGCCTGCTGATACCAATTTCTCAGCTTTACCGGGTTAACTGAGTTAACTGTTCCCTAATGTCTGTGGAAATTATCTATTTCATGAAGATTTCTAAATTAGAATTGAAAAAAAACCCTCCAAACCCAAACTTAAAAAAAAAAACCCACGAAGCCACCAAAAAAAAATCCTCAGCAAAGAGCCCAAACCCAGCAGTTTATCTTAAGATATATCTTGTTGGTACAGATCTGGGATGAGTAATAATGGTAAAAGCAGTTATACAAGCAGACCTTGAGGACATGCTGACCTTAAGCATGAGTTAAGAGTGAGCCTCTAGTAGTGCCTGGGAGTAGAAACTTGTAGCAGTCAGTCAAACCAGGTTTAGGATAAGCTCCCAGTTGCCTGGAATAAATGAGCTTACTTACAGGAAAAAATACTTCTTATTAATGCAGTGAAGTTTCAATTATTCCACCTATTTCATAATCTGGTTTATTATAGTAAAGGTAAAAGGAATTTGAATACAATGAATAAAAATAAGCAGTTCATGTTTAATGGGCTTAAAAAGTGAACAGCACAGTCTGAAGGCTCAAGAAGCAATTATACATTGCTGAGTAAATAGCATGAAGGTTCTTGTTTTATGTCTTGATTGGAGAAATATTGATTCTTTTAGATTAGTTCTGGTAATTAGACCAGGATGCTTGTTTGTTTATTTTAAATGAAGCTAAACTGGTTTGCTAGACTCATTGTCTGTAAATGTGTCCTATATTAACACATTGCATTGAACTCCAGGCAGTTTTTAATATCCTTGAATATCTGGTTTTTTGGCATATAATTGCAGATGAGCTGAGGGTTATTCTGGCAGATAAAAATGAATCAGAAGAGCATAAATGCTGCTTCTCAAACCACTACTCAGCCTGACTGAGGAGCTTTTGAAGAGCAGTGCCAAGCTAGCAGTGGTGACGTCCATAATTCGAGTTTGGCACATAGGCTCT